TTTCTAAAATTTTATTTTAAATTAAATTACATTGTCTTTCATAATAAAACTTCACCCTCTCATTTCCTCTTAGAATAATTGTTTAGATTTGAGGTAACAAGTATAATGATACAAACACATTTATGAATCTGGAAATATTTTCTGTAATGTTTTACAAAAAGATCATATGAATGGAAACAATGTCACCACAATTATAGTAACGCATATGATTTAAACAACAAAACAGTACAAGGCAATAACTTAAATTTAGAAACACATAGTTTATTCTAAAGGCTTATCTAATTTTCTAGTTCAATTTGTATATGTGTGTAGCCACTGCTTGAAAATAATACTGACATTCATATTTCACACTTAAAACTTTGTGCTTTGCTAGTTACTTTCATAATAACAGTCTACTGGACTCTTGTAAGTCAAGCAGCTTGAACAAGTGTTACCATCTCTATTTTATGGGAGAGAACACTGAGGTCTAGTGGTTGGTTCAAGGGCATATGTTTATTCAATGATGAATCTGGGATGACTGCCTTTTTGATAGCAGAAACAAAATTACCTTTTGCAAAAATGAAATTTTAATTTTGAGTAATTTTAAATTTACAGAAAACTTGCACAGATAGTATAGAGAGGTCTTGTATACTCCTCACCTAGCTCCCCATAATGTTAACATCTTATGTAACCATGACTACATTTATAAAAACTATGAAGCAAGTCTTGAGATTGTACTATTAATTAATCTTTAGACTTTATTCATAATTACTTTATTTTTCCACTGCTGCTCATCTTTTGTTCTAGGACCCAATACAGGACTATTTACCTTTAAAATGATTTAAAATCATAAACTTTGGATCATGAACCATAAGGAAATTTTTTTCTCCATTACCAACATTTTAATATTTATTTTGGATTTTTTTTAATCAGAACACTGAGGCTTGTTTTATTTTTATTTAATGAACATTTTAGGTCTAAATTTCTATTTCTTTTAGAACTTCCCATACAGGGGAAGTGCAAAAATTAATGTTTAAAATATATTGGTATAGACTAATATGGGGTCCATTTGTTTTCTTTTGTATAAGGAAGCCACCTGAAATAGAAGTGGACTCATGTGTTTGAGACCAACGAGGGGATTACAAAGCTCATTGTAAAGTGCTCTGCTCTTACAAAAGTAGCATATACACGGTAACCACATAAAATAATTTATATTTTTAAATTAATGAAAAGATTAGTCAAAGAGCTTTTCAGTAAAAGTATTTATCAGCCCTGTTCATGGTAAAGTGGGAATTAAGTATAAATAAAAATGTTAACAATTCTCCGCAGTGTCCATGATCAGGGCATGACCTCCTTTTGAATGTTTTATGTGTATTAAGTCATCTCATTCTATCAATAGGCATTCTTATTATACTCCCGTTCCAGAAGTGGAAACCAAAGATTTTAATTAACTGGTTCCATGACACGTAACTAAATAGAAGAGTTTGGATTTGAATCCAGGACTGTATGAATCTGAAGTTGATGTTGTTAACCGTTTCACTTCCTTGTCTCTCCTGCTTTGATCATAAGCTAAAGACACACTGTTGGATATTATATTGATATTCTTAATTTTTAAATAAGTGATTGTTGACACACAATCACATTACTAGCTTTATTTTATACGCTTTTTTTCTGGGTGACAGCTTCTAGCTGGAAGTGGAGTTAATAGTGCTGGCACATGTAGGATTGCTAAAGAGCTTGGGTGGCATACTTGATAAAGCAGTTGGCTGCTAAACAGGTCAGTGGTTTAAACCCACCAGCACTCGCCAGAAGGAAGATGGGATGATCTACTTCCATAAAGTTCATGGCAGTAAGCTTGGTTTTTATGAGACCACTGGGAATATAAGAAAATTGTTGTTTTAAAGCGAGCAAACCAAAGACATTAATCTATGCTCTGGTGTATTTGTTAATTCTAAGTGGCATTAGAGAGAATCAGTTTATTGACACTTCTCACAATAAGCTCCACTATACTTTTATTCATCTCTTTAGCAGATATATAATTATGTAAACTATTTAACTGATAAATTTCTGTTATATGTACAAGTGAGGACACAATTATCCTTCAAACATGGGTCTACCTGTGGAAAATGAAGTCAAAAGTTGAAGTAATCTGGTTGATTCATGGAAATGCCTTCTATGGACAAAACAGCTGGCTTATTAAGTGAGATAATAATAAGCACAGTTTGCAAGAATTCATCATAAGCAACATTTTCACATTTTCAAAATTGACTTCCATCATAATCCTGTGAGACGATCAGGTAAGCTATATATGAACTACAATAACAATAAAATTACATAATTTGGAAACAAATATACCTTGAGGAGTTGTACTTGATCATATAGGGCCACACTGAATAAATAATTGGTTAACAATTAATAAAGTCTTACAACTGGTTTACATTCAACATGTTAAGTCTAATTCTTATTTATATGGTTGTCAATTTGTATATGTGTATGATGTATATGGTGGGGCCATTACATACTGTGGTAGTTAAATTTGTGTGTCAATTTGCCTGGGCCTGGTTGAGTGGCTGGGCAGCTAGTGGTATTATTCCCCACGATGAGACTGGCAATCAACTCTGTGGTGGCATCTACCACAAGAAGCTGAGTAGCTGCCTTTGGGATGTGGTCTGCTTCCCATGTATAAGGAGGAGCCTTGGGGATAGTCTCGAGCTTATGGTATGCTTGGACCCTGCATGTATCTGTGTTGTTGTTCAGCAGCCTGCCATGCTCTGCTGACCTTGGGACTTACGATGGACTTGAATTAATGGCCTGCCATGTGGTTTGGTAACATTGGGGCTATGCCATTTTATTTGTTGACCTTGGGCTTGTTAGCCTCAGCAGCCAGTAACTGCCTGAGTGAAGAGATGCCTCTCACTTCAGTGGGCTGGGAGCAAGAGGCAGAGCTGAAGCCCAAGGTTGGGGGCTTTCACACAGCCCCTAGAGCCTGGCACTTTTAACTGGGACTCAAAGCCTCCAAATTGTGAGAAAATAAACTACTGTTTGTTAAGGCCATGCCATTTGTGATATATTCTTTTCACAGTGGCAGTATGTAACCAGAACACATACTGATTACAAATCATTTACACATTTACAGTTTCTTTTCCTAAAGTGTCTCATTTATAAATGAACCAAGGAATCAGAAGGTTTCCATGTTGAGAAGTGAGTGGAGACAGTAGAAAGACCATCCTTGATCTCAGATTCTCCCTAGAAAAGAAACATTAATATCTCTCTATTTATTGAGCCAGTGGACTTGTACTTTAAAGCCAAATAATCCTAGATCCACCTTTTGTTAATATTTTAAACTTCACCTCTCATAGCATGAGTTTGCTACCTGTAAAAAAGGAATATTAAGACCCAACTTGGGCTATATCCTTAACTCTAGACATGGAGCAGTTTCTTCCTCGCTTTATTCCACTTAGTCATTAACATAACACTCTGAACTAGGGATTGTTATTTTCATCAGCTTCTGTTTTCATTTTAAAAATATGTATTTCTTTAAAAAAAGCAACTCTACCTTTAAGGTACACTTATTCATTAAGTGGAGAGCTAGGCACTTTTCCATAGGCCTTCATTTTTCTTAATTCATTTTAAAGACCCAGTTCAGCTCAGATTTTTCAAAAAATACTTGAGGAAGTAGGCATGATTTCCAAGTGTCTCCTAAATTGCATTTTATCTCATCTTCTATTTGTAGAGAAGACAGTCTCCTGATGAGAGATGCATTTCCCATGCAAGTCATCCTGGGTCCCATGCCATGCCAGTCCTCCTTCCCTCAGAGCTTGGGTGTGCTTCAGAATCCTTCTCAACAATTCACTCCAGTTAACCACTACTAACTAGTCAGAGATGGCACCTAAGATAAAATCGATTTGCCAGGTCTACCACGTACAAATGTTTCCCTTCCCCTACACTGAAATTCTAACTATTTTAGAGTGTTTAACTTCAGTTCTGCCTGGTGTCTTACCACCACCTTTGTCACATTTCTAATTTTGGGTTCTCAACAGCAGGACCCCTTAAAATAACTTTGCTTATGGATCTATCAACCTGTTGATGACTATGCTAAAGCCATAAACTAATGTGAGAAAAATATCTCTTTCTCATAATTTCAGATTCTACATGATCACTGTGGTAGTTTTTATGTTTTCCTCTGAAATCATGCAAAACCAAAGCTTTGTGACTGAGTTCATCCTTCTGGGGCTTTCACAGAATCCAAAAGTTCAGAAAATAGTATTTGTTGTCTTTTTGTTAGGCTATATTACAACTGTTGGTGGAAATTTACTAATTGTTGTGACCATCGTCAGCAACCCAGCACTCCTGGGCTCCCCAATGTACTTCTTTCTGGCTTTTCTGTCCTTCTTGGATGCATGCTTCTCTTCAGTTATCGCCCCAAAGATGATTGCAGACTCCCTCCATGAGAGGAAAGCCATCTCCTTTGAAGGCTGCATGATCCAACTCTTTGCTGAACACTTCTTTGCTGGAGTGGAGGTGATTGTCCTCACTGCCATGGCCTATGACCGCTATGTGGCTATTTGCAAACCCTTGCATTACCATTCCATCATGAACTGGAGGCTCTGTGGTATTTTGATGGGGGTAGCATGGACAGGGGGCTTCTTGCATTCTATGATACAAATTCTCTTTACTGTCCAGCTGCCCTTCTGTGGACCGAATGTCATTGATCATTTCATGTGTGATTTGTACCCATTATTGGAGCTTGCCTGTACTGACACTCATGTCCTTGGCCTGTTGGTGGTTGCCAATAGTGGGTTCATCTGCATCATAAACTTCTCCTTGTTGCTTATCTCTTATTGTGTTATCTTACTCTCACTGAGATCTCATAGCTCTGAAGGTCGTCGGAAAGCTCTCTCCACCTGTGGATCTCATATTGCTGTCGTAGTTTTGTTCTTTGTTCCGTGCATATTTGTGTATGCACGACCTCCATCTGCTTTCTCCTTCGACAAGATGGTGGCCATATTTTACACCATCCTAACTCCTCTGCTCAATCCTTTGATTTACACTTTCAGGAATAAGGAAGTAAAAAATGCCATGAGAAAATTGTGGACCAGATTGATGATGGTTTCTGATGAAAATTAAATTTTAAACTTAAAAATATAAAAATTCAAAAGGAAATAAATTTAAATGATCTTGAGATGTAACTTTATAGGGGATGGAACTTGTAAGACAGAAGGTAACATCATGCAACAGAAAAATGTTAATGCAGAGGTCAGGAAATGCTATTTCCACCCGGAGATCACTCTTGTTTTGATAGATGACAGTTCAGTGCCTTTATCCATAAACTAAACAGATTTGGATTTCATGATTATGTAGAATCTAATAATCAAAAGAAATCACTAAAAGAGAGGAATCAGATTATCTACTAAACTGTTTACCATTCACAACATGCTTTGAAAATTTCATGAGAAAAGTCAAACAAATACCTTAAAGATTATCATAAAAAATTACTGAACTATTTTCAACAGAAAAACTGTTAAGTTTTATGACACTAACCCAGTTAAAGAGCCTTACTAACACTACTGATTAAATGCTTGACTGCTATCCAAAAGGTTGGCAGTTTAAACCCACCAGCCACACCATGAGACAAAGATGTGACAGTGTTGTTGTTGTTACGTGCCCTTGAGTCGACCCGACTCATAGCAACCCCTTCTTGGGTTTCTGAGGTGATATCACTATGGAAGTAGATTGCTCAACCTTCCTTCTGAGGAGTGGGTGGTGAGTTTGAACCAGCAGCCTTTTGGTTAGCAGTCACAGTGCCTTAGGCACTATGCTACCAGAGCTCCTAGATGTGACAGTATATTTCCATAAAGATTACAGCCTCAGAAACACTATAAAGCAGTTGCATTCCATCCTGTAGTTTCACTATGACACTGTTATGACTGATAATCAAATTGACAGCAACATATACAGGACAAGAGAAATTGTATCGGCCTATTGTAACTATGGGAGACTGATTCTTGCTGATACCTTCTAGACTTGGGTTTCTAAATCCAAAGAATATTTTCTTTTTATAGTGCTGTCAAAAACTTTCATCAGAGAAACACTATTGCTTTTCTAAATAGTATTCCCTGACTAGATATATAGAAAGCTTAAAGTGGTACCAAGGCTTTTTATGGTCATGGTTTTCTTATTAAAACAAATACATATGATACTTACGATCACAATAATCACAATATCAGTCACAATATTTAAAAGAAAGCACATTATTTAAATCACTATATTTAATTGTAATTGCAAAGTGGATACGTGTGATATGTGACTATAATAACCACCAACAATTATCATTAACCATCAGGCTTATTCATTCATTGAGGTATAATTGCTGAGTTTGTATGAAATGCTAGAGTCTCCTCTAGATGTTGAACATACAGTGGTGTATGAAACAATCACTTTTCCTTTTCTACTGAAGCTTATATTCTAATGCAGGGTGCAAACAATATAACATGATAATAAAATCATATAGCTATAACTAACTTATAAAATTGTAATGGAGTGGTGTATGTGTAATTGGGTAAGCAGTCTAGTTAGAGGGACACGGGAATTTTTGAGAGATAATTTCTAGCTTGAGATCTGAATGATATCACAGAATCCACCTTAAACATATCAGGGGAAGAGCATTTTAGGATTAAAAAAAAAAAAAAGTCTACAGAAATCCTAAGGCATGAACTAGCCTGGATAATCAGTGCACCGAGGATAAGGAGAGAATGTGGAACATGATTAGATATGGAAACTAGGCAGGACCCTGATAAGAAGGGGATCTTATTATTTTTTAAGTTCAAAAGGACCATGGACATAAAAATGACTCTATTGGAATAATGATTTAAAAAGAAAGCTTTCACAAGTTTATAGCTGACTTCAAAAACTTGGTTTCAAACATTTCTGCACAGTTTCCCTTTCACTTTTATTATGTCAAGATAATGAAACTGTGGTGTCTCTCAATGGTTAAAACATTTGACTGCTAACCAAAAGGTCAGTGGTTTGAACCAACCAGCTGCTTTATGGGAGAAAGATGAAGTAGTCTGCTTCTGTAAAGATTTACAGCCTTAGAAACCCATAAACCAGTACCATTGAGTTGGATCTGACACATAACGACCCCTCCATGGGTTTCCAAGGAGGTGTCACTATAGAAGTAGATTGCCCAACCTTCCTTCTGAGGAGTGGATGGTGGGTTGGAACCACCAGCCTTCTAGTTAGCCTTAGGCACTACACCACCAGAGCTCCCTAGAAACTCTATGGGACAGTTCTTCTCTGTGCTATAAGGTGACTATGAGTCAGAATTAATAGTAGAAATAGTAAAGCATAATGTTTGCTGTCTACCACTTGCTGTCAGTTTGTGGTACTGTGGTGGCTTGGGTGTTGGTGTGATGTTAGAAGCTATGCCATCAGTATTGCAAATACCAGCAGGGTCACCCATGGTGGACAGGTTTCAGTGGAGCTTCCAGACTTAAGAGAGACTAGGAAGAAGGACTGGGCCATCTATTTCAAAGAAAACTGGTCACTGAACATCTTATGAATAGTAGTGAAAAGCTGTCTATTATCTGATATATTGCAGGAATAATTTAAGAGTAATAGGGAAGCATTGTCTGATATAGTGCCGGGACTTGAGCTCCTCAGGTTGGAATGTGCCAGAAACATGAACAAGGAAGGGCTGCCTCCTCAAAGGAGAGTCCATTTTAGTGAAGTGGAAGGAGTAAAACTTTGGGACCTTCATTTGCTGAGGTGGCATGACTCAAAATGAGAAGAAACAGCTGTAAACATTCATTAGTAATCAGACCCTGTGATGTATGAATGTATGAATGTATGATGTATGAATCTAGGAAAATTGGAAGTTGTCAAAACTCAAAAGGAATACATGAAGATTAATATTTCCTATAGGCCGTTGTTAATCAGAGAATCATATGGTCAACTATATTGGGAATGATAAAGAGGAATGGAATCACATTCATCAATAAAAGAATATTTCAAGATCTATCCTGAAGTGCAATGCTGTCAGTTACAGAATAATATTCATAGCTTACAAAGAAGACCATTTAATACTATTACTCAAATTTACCCAACAACCATTTAAGCTAAAGATGAAGAAATTGCAGAATTTTACCAACTACTACAATCTGAAATTGACAAAAAGTGCAATCAGGATTTATGGATAATTACTGGTGATTGGAACTCAAAAGTTGGAAACAAAAAAAGAAGCATTGATAGTTGGATAATACAGCCTTGGTGAAAGAAATTATGCCAGAGATAGCATGATAGAATTTTGCAAGATCAACCCGTTATTCATTACAAATACCATTTTACAGCAACAACAACAACAAAAATGGCAGCTATACCTCTGGACATCAGCAGATGGAGTACACAGGAATAAGATCAACTATATATGTGGGAGCTCTGGTAGTGTAGTGCCTAAGGCACCTGACTGCTAACCAGAAGGCTGGCAGTTCAAACCCATCAGCCACTCCTCAGAAGGAAGATGGGGCAATCTACTTCTCTAGTGATACTGCCTCAGAAACCCAAGGAGGGGGTCACTATATAAGTTGGTTCCAACTTGATGGCACATAACAACAATAACATATCTGTGGAAAAAGGTGATGGAGAAGCTCAATATCATTGTGAAAATAAGACCAGGCACAGACTGTGGAACACTGTCATGTTCTCATGTTGTTCATATGCGAGATTGACGTGAAGATAAAGAAAATTAAAAAAAAAAAGTTCACAAGAGCCTAAATATGACCTTGAGTATATCCCACCTGAATTTAGAGACCATCTGAAGAACAGATTTAATGCACTGAACACCAGTGACAGAAGACCAGACAAATTATGGGGTATTCTAAAGAACATCATGGGAGTTCTGGTGGTGTAGTGCCTAAGGCATTTGACTGCTAACCAGAAGTTTGGCAGTTCAAACTCACCAGTCACTCCTCGGAAAGATGATTGAGTGATCTACTTCCATAGTGATATCCCCTCAGAAACCCAAGGAGGGGTTGGTATGAGTCGGATTTGATTTGAGGGCAGTGAGTTAGGTTTTGGTTTTTTACAGAGCATTATACATGAAGAAAGCAAAAGGTAACTCAAAAGACAAGAAAAGAAGAAACTATCAAAACGGATGTCAGAAGGTACTCTGAAACTTTCTGTTGAACAGAGGGTAGCTACAATGAATGGAAGAAATGCTGAAATAAAAGAACTGAACCACAGATTTCAAAAGGAAGCTCAAGAGGACAAAGTAAAGTACTATAATGAAAGGTGCAAAGAACTGGAATTAGAAAACCAAAAGGGAAGAACAGCCTTGGCATCTCTCAAGCTGAAAGAAATGAAGAAAAAATTCCAGCCTCGAGTTGTAATATTGAAGGATTCTATGGGCCAAATATTGAATGATGCAGGGAAAATCCAAAGAAGATGGAAAGAACACACAGAGTAACTGTAGAAAAAAAGAACTGGTCAATATTCAACTATTTCATGTGCTAGCATATGAACAACAACCAACAGTATTGTAAGAAGTCAAAGCTGTGCTGAAGGAAGTGAGGGAAAACAAGGCTTCAGGAATTTTCAGAAGATCCACTGAGATGTTTCAACAAACAGATGGAAAACTGGATATGCCTACTAATTTATGGCAAGAAATATGGCCATCTGACTGGAAGAGATCCGTATTTGTGCCCATTCCAAAGAATGGTGAGTCAACTGAATGTGGAATTTATCAAACCATATCATTAAGAGCACAGTCAAGTAAAATTTTGGTGAAGATAATTTAAAAATGGTTGTCGTTGTATATTGACAGGGAACCGACAGAGATTCAAAGTGGATTCAGAAGAGGATGTAGCACAAGGGATATCTTTGCTGATGTCAGATGGCTCTTGGCTGAGAGCAAAGAATAAGAGATATATTTACTTGTGTTTCATTGCCTATGCAAAGACATTTGACTGTGTGAATCAAAACAAATTATTGATAGCACTGTGAAGAATGAGAATCCTAGAACACTTAATTGTACTCACAAGGAACCTGTATATAGACAAACAGGCAGTCGTTTGAACAGAGCAAGAGTTTAAAATCAGGAAATATATGTGTTGGTTTTGTTCACATTCACC